CAGTGACTCCGTCCAGCCACCTCATTCTTTGTCGCCCCCTTCTTCTATTGCCCTCAATCTTTCCCAGCATTAGGCCCTTCTCCGGTGAGTCCTTCCCTCTCATTAGGTGGCCAAAGAACTTGAGTTTCAATTTCAGGATCTGGCCTTCTAAAGAGCAGTCAGGGTTGATCTCCTCTAGGACTCACCAGTTTTTTTTTTTTTTTTTTTAAAACACACACACACTCCAAAGATCAGCAATGAGGATTTTCAGTTTTCCTCAGGCAGGCTTCCTTCAATTTCAAACTAATTTCCATTCAGAAATTTAGTATATTGCTTATGTTGATTTGAAGCTGACTTGTCCTATTTAACTCAGCATCCTCTGGAAATGTACTGTAGGAAAAGTGCAAATATATAAGTGAAGGATCAAACAGGCTAAGTAGAAAGCAGGAGCTTTTCCTTTCAATAAGAATGGGATGGTTGAGTGTAGCGAGGAGAGAAAAGAAAAGATGTAAAGAGATTTCAGGCAGAGCAGAAGGAAGCAATGCTACCCACTGGAAGACCCAGTGCCTTCATAAAGCAATGAGTTGCTTGCCAAGTCTATCTGGCTGGTTGCTAGTTAATAGAGACTGTAATTGGATCTCCCCAAATGTGTTCATGCCCATTTGGAAGAATTGCTCGTGACAGTTGATCTGCATTGCAAGGATACCTCCAGGATAAGATCCTTCCTGTTCCACAGCATCAGACAGAGTGCTGGCAGCAGTGAAGATAAAACCACTAGTAGTATTGGAAGAACGTGTTTGGTTGATGAACCCAGAGAAGGAATTTCCACCTCAGTTTCTCTATTTATAGAACTGACAGTGCATGTATGGGTTCGTTGCTACTCATGGGCACCACACTGGACTGCGATCTATAGATAAGAGCTTGACCACTCAAATTAATTGAATAGGTAATTCCTGATCAGTGACCATAATAAAGACGGGGGGGGGGAATCAGACTACTTAAAACATGTGTTCTTAACCACATTATTGAAATGTCTTTGGCATATTAGCTTAGGTTAGACTGCGGTGAGAATCTGTTTACCTTATTAAAGAATCGTTATGTTTCTTACTACCATCATAATGACCATTACATAAAGTTAATTCCAAGCAAACCAGAAAGAGACAATGGGGAACGATGATATTTTAGCCACAAGAGGGAGCGTTTGTTCTGCAGATCAAGAGCTGTAAGAACCCCCCCCTTTAGTGTCAGCTTTTCATTATTGGTTTGGGATCATATATCACAATAGATTTTTGTATACCAATGTAACAATGCTTAGATGTTTTCAGTGTCTATGCTCAAAACATCCAAAAACAGCCATTGTTTCATTTAATATTGCAAGTGGAGACAGCTGGCTGATTCCATGTGCACACATGAGATATCCACAGCTTCCTTTGCCAGCTTGTTTTATTCTTGGCCAGGGATAATGCTAGAATGGTCAACCGCTCTGCCAGTATTCTTGGCACTGGAAAGAAATCCCTAAGTAGAACAGAAAGTGATTTAGAAAAATACATTATTGAAACTAGTGAACGGAGATTTAAAGGAAGGGGTTTTTTTGCATAAAGGAGATGTAATTGAAGCAAGAAGCAAAAGCTTCAAGATAAGAAGCAATGATGTAGGGAATAGTTTCACTGGATTCAGATCAGCAGCTAGCCTTGTTTTTTTTACACAGGCCACTTCCAATTAAATATCTGAGAATTGGGCTACAGAAACAGAGAACCAAGTTCTTCCACTTAAGTTATTTGGGGTTTACACAATCAATTTGCTTGCTTGCTGAAAGGAAAGTTGATGATGAGAGGCTGGCCACACGGGGGTAATTGCTTCATCCCAGAAGGCTGGAGACAGAGAATGAAAGCTGTCTTTGCTCCATTGGATTGTGCTCATTTTCTCACATCTCTGGAACAAAGCAGTACCCCAGGGCTGGTTGTTGCAAAGCAGCACAAAATTATTGTCTTCAGAATTCAACTTTCTCCATTAAAAAATGGGGCATACCAAATCTGCACAGTCCTTTTTCTGAGAATGAATTATTGCCGCATGGCTGAATCAAGGTCAAGGACATTAATAGGTAGAAGCCAGAGTGAAGGAGAATGGTTGCAGGACTTGGGTTTGGCTAGTCTAAAGAAAAGAAGAAACAGGGGCAACATAATAGCAGTATTCCAGTATTTGAGAGGCTGCCACAAAGAAGAGGGGGTCAAACTATTCTCCAAAGCACCAGAGGGCAGGACAAGAAACAATGGTTGGAAACTGATCAAGGAGAGAAGCAACCTGGAATAAGGAGGTAGTTCATAGCAGTGAGGACAATTAACCAGTGGAACAGCTTGCCTTGGGTGCTCCATCACTGGAGGTTTTTAAGAAGAAACTTGACTTGTCTGAGTGGTATAGTTTCTCCTGCTTGAGAGGGGGCTGGACTAGAAGACCTCCAAGGTTCCTTCCAGCTCTATTCTATTCTATTCTATTCTATTCTATTCTATTCTATTCTATTCTATTCTATTCTATTCTATTCTATTCTATTCTATTCTAAACTTTTTTGTCCTAAATCTTTCAGGCCTTATTACTGAGCATCAATTTTCCACTGATGCTCGGGGACTTAGATTGTTCTTGGCAAAGTTTTTGCATTACCCCATAACCTGCATTCATCATACCTACCTTTGGAGGGTTACCAGGTTGGAGAAGGTTACTGTAACAGAGATAGTTGACCTTTTGATCCATGGGTTTCCAAGTCCTAATAGTCTCCCAAAAGAAATTTACTGCATCTTTTTTCCTATTATTGCTAAAAGACAAAAATGAACTTTGTATAAAGCATCCCTCATGAGGAAGCGCCAATTATTATTATTTTTAATTCATAGATATTTATATTTTGGTCTGTTTAATAACCTGGATTTTAAATCCCGTGCTTTCAGTTCAATAGAGCTCCATCAACAGAAGAAATCGTATTCCAATTCTTCCTAATTCTGACTGTCTGAAACAGAACAAGTCCATTTGGAATTAGTCCTCTATGTAGATTTGATTTCCCCACAATGCTCCTAATATTACCAGTTAGACACCTACAGAGCAAAGAATCGGGTGTTTTCAGCCTATAAAGCCTATAAAGGAGCTGTGGTGTTGCAGTGGTTGGAATGCCGTGTTGCAAGCTAACTCTGCTCATTGCCAGAAGTTCGATCTTGATTGCCTCAAGGTAGACTCAGCCTTCCATCCTTTTGAGGCTGGTGAAACGAGGATCCATATTGTTGGGGGCAATATGCTAACATTTGTAAACCACTGAAAACACTGGGGCGGTAAAAAAAAAAAAGTCTAAGTGCTTTTGCTATTGCTATTGAAAATAATCCTTTATTTTTTCCAGGTTTAATCCAGAGCATAATTGCTTCTGTGGGAGATCAAAAATACGTTTATTCCCCTGGAATATCATCTGAAAAAAAATTGCATATCTCTTGACAGTGCTGAACTTGGATCTCTTATTCAAGGATTGTAATGCCTGCATTTCCTACTCTAAGTTACATAAGTTTTACAATAATTTTATTCATATGGATGAATTTGAAAACCCGTAAAAAGATAAGAATTATACAAAAACAGACTTGCTTTATTTGTTGTTAGTTGCGAAGTTATGTCTGACCCATCGCGATCCCATGGACAACGTTCCTCCAAGCCTTCCTGTCCTCTACCATCTTCTGGAGTCCATTTAAGTCCATGCCTACTGCTTCAGTGACTCCATCCAGCCACTTCATTCTCTGTCATCCCCTTCTTCTACTGCCCTCAATCTTTCCCAGCATTAGACTCTTCTCCAGTGAGTCCTTCCTTCTCATTAGGTGGCCAAAGTACTTGCTTTATAGCTAGTATCAAAAGGCAATACAAGTGATTCTTCTTTAGCAACTATCTTATATAGCAACCATTCACAATTACAATAGTGACGAAAAAGTAACTTTACCACCCATCCTTGCAGGTTAACAAATCAAAGGAAAACTGAAGTAAACGTGTAAGCACAGTTGTAGTTTCATTTAGTGACCATTTCATTTAATAACAAAGTTGCCGGTCTCAGTTATGGTCACCAAAACAAGGGCTACTTTTAGGAAACTACATAAAACAATTGAGTTTGTTAAGGAATAGTCAATAGGAAAACTGTTCTTTCTTTACAAAAATAGATAGCTGGGTCCCTCCCTCTTTAGGAAGTGTCTGTCATCAGAAATATTTACCGTAAATGCCGGCGTACAAGGCGACCCGGCGTATAAGACGACCCCCATCTTTATAGCCGGGCCGCATTCCTAGAACGTCGTCTTATACGCCGGAAACTACCAGTATTTCCGGCGTATAAGACGACTCGGTGTATAAGACGACCCCCGTCTTTGGTGCCGATTTCAGCGCTCGTGGAAGTCGCCTTATATGCCGGCATTTACGGTAATTGAATTTCTCCCTTTCCTATAAGCCCCCGATCCTCCTCTGGAGAACTGGAAACAGAATTGTGATTGTTGAAGGGATCTGAGTCATCCCCCCCCCCCATACACACACTTTGTTTTGCTGTTTCAAAGGTTATTTATGAAGAATAAGTTAACATTTTAAACACTGGCCAGTTTTTCTGCAAGTTGAATGACTGTCAGAAGTGACCATGGAAGGTATGTACTCCATCTAATTTTTTTTGGTCGTGGGTTTAAAAAAAAAGGAAAAAAGAGAGAGGAAGGCTCTTGGGTCAAAATATCATTATAGACCTTGACTACTCAAAACATTTCGAGTTGTTTTCCATAGGAGCACTTGGAATTGTTTTAACTGCTGTCTCATAACAAAAGACCCAGCCAATTCGGACCTCATTTTTGGGCAGAAAGATTATAGGGGAGCCTTACAATAATTTTATAATATAACTATCAGGGTTAGGCCTGCTTACTTAGCTTTGAGTTTCACCAGTTTCGTGGAGATTACTCACAGGCAAACACACGGAGAATTAGAGGCATATTTTGTGATTGGATTTCCTTTTTAAATGAAGCCTTATTCATAACATGTTTTTATTATTTATTATGGTCTTCAAATAGGGGGCTCATATTCATAAGTAATGTTGCTTCTTTTAAAAGATCCTGATATTTCACTCACAGGAAACATCTCTTGTTTCTTTGGCCACCCGGATAGGTTTCATATTTCAGAAAGCACGTAATGATCAGTTTTACTGGGATTAATGATCCTCTTCAACATTTGCAGTTGTCAATCAGTTCTGCTCCTTTAATAGAGTTCTATAACAAACAAAAGAAAATACTTTTCAATTCTGTTTTGTCTAAATATTCTTGATGGAACAGCAAGTATAGAAGACAAGAAACAGCATTCTCCGAGCTAAACACATGTATTTTTACTCTTTTTTCTTGAAAGCATATTATTTTATCATTCTTTTCTGCCTACAACTTTTTACAAAGTATTAAGTCATAGATGGTTTCACGTTAATCTTAACCCCAAAAAATTGAGTACCTGCTTTGTCTAAAAGCTGTTGCATAACCAATGCTTTTTTTCTAAAAAAAAAAAAAAAGTGCTGGAACTCACACATGTCATACAACCCGCCTTGCTTACCCTACAAGGTTCCATCCAGAAAAGGTGCTGGAACTCCGTTCTGGGCATTCTGTGAGAAAAAAAGCCCTGTGCATAAAACCCACTGGTTAAAAAAATGTGTCTTTTCAAAAGGCCCAAAGGATCAGTAATGAACGTCTATATATCTTTTCTTCCATTCAGGTATATGTGGTCTTGCAGGAATTCAGGATCTGACTCTTGAGTAAAGGAAGCTTAGCAGCACATGTTTAATGTGAGAGATGGCAGCTGAAACCGAATACATCAGTTCTGAAACAGGAAGCGTCCATTTTTATCAAACCATAGTTTCTCTGGCTTCCTCTCAGTATTAGGTTGGTCTAAGTTACATGCTCCATATTTATTATTGTGGAAGCACCAATGTTATGAAGTTACAGAGAGTAACGGCTACTTCTGCTTGGAATGCTTAAGTGCCACTGATTCCAGTCATCTGCATGAAAATGCTCAGCATGTTTGAGTCTGGAATACATCACCTGTTTCTGGGTTTATGTGAAGTGCAAGTCCATCTCTGAACAGAATGGGAATGATCAAATGACCCATAAAAATAGTTCTGGTTTTGTGAGTTTTTAAAATTCTGTAAGAGGAGGTTAGTGAGTTACTCTGGTCTTTCATTCATTAATAAGTTCTGTGGCTCCATGTGTTTGGGATTCCCACAAGAATAACTATATTCATTGATCAGGAGGAAAATTCCATGCATGCAGTTTGTATGAACCAAACTCATGTATACAGAGATACGTCAAGGACACCTCTCTATACCCACCCTTGTCATGCCTCATACTCAAAAATATTTTGCTAAGATTTAGTTATCAATAATACAATATTATTTCATACTTATACTTCCCTTTCTCCAAAAACTTCTAACCAGTATAGCTTTATCCCAGCTTGTCATGAGAAGACCCTCATAGGTTAGGTGTTAAGGAGCACATAAACTACAACTCAGTGGGGTTCATGGCTGCACAGAAACTTGAGTGAAGCTCTTTCATGTTAAAGGCACTTCTGGACAACCAGCTTTTCATCTCCCAAGCTTCTGAATCCAGTTTAAAGCTCATATGAGATTAATTGGATTTGTTTTTTTAGTATATTCAGAGTTATTTGTAGACCAGGATGAGTGGACATTGGAAGAGCTGAATGCATGTCCAGTCATAAATATGTTCCGGATCTGATGCCTGATACTCAAATGAAACTAAATGGATAAACTGGAATGGTACCCAAAAAACCTTGCAGATGTTTCATATATTCAAAAATATGCTACAACCATAGTGAATATAGGACTCCAAGAAAATGGACCATAGTCTTCCAGTGTTATAATGGATATTAGGATGTGTGTGTGTGTGTGTGTGTGTGTGTGTGTATAGTTTATTGTTTTATCATAGAGAATAAAATACAGAAGAGTAATACAAACAAAATGTAACAAAACAAAAACATACATTCAATCCTAACCACAACGAAAAAAGAAAAAAAATAATATACCAAAAAGGAGGAAAAAGTGGTCAATTAAATTTAACATTTAACACGTAGGATCCACCCTAGCTGAGTGCTGAAAAAAAAAAGAAAAAAGCAATAAATTCTCCTCCCCTTTTACGTGTGTGTGTGTGTGTGTGTGTGTGTGTGTGTGTGTGTGTGTATATATATATATATATATATATATATATATATATATATATATATATATATGATTGGAAATAAAAACAAAAACATGACTCTTGGGAATATTCATGTTAGTCAAATAGTAATGATCACCAAGAGAGTATCTATAAAAATAGAATTTTAATCCACCGAGCTTTCGTCAAACACAATTGACATCGTCAGGGTTAAAAGGTAAGTGCCGGGGGAGAGTCTTATATACAGCTGTTTAGTGTCTGCTTCCGGCTCCTGGAGCGTGTCATAGGCCCCAGCTGATCGGGTTGGGTCTCCAGCCTACATCCCACATTACTAGTCTGCATTCTGTCATAAGTTGTTTCAGAGTTGGGAGTCCAGATCTTTTTGCCTTCCTTGCTCATAGCCTCCCCCCCACCACCATCCCACACACGACTTCCCTCTACGAGTGGGGGTGGGCAATTATCACTTTCAGTATCCTTACAAGCCTCACGGCTATTTTGGTCTTGTTTATCCGTCTCCCGGAATTGTGCCCTAGATTCATAACCCCCGCCCATATTGTTCCTCCTCCCCTCCTTCTTCCCCTGGGTTCCCCTGTACGGTCCGCTGTTCGTTCCCACACGCTCTGTCTTGCGCACCGTCAAGATGTTTTTTGTCGTTGTCCTATTGTCAGTGGCTCGTTGTTCCATCCGTTGCCGGTGGGCAACGTTACCGTCCGTCCTTGGTTCTCCATTCCCACTCCATACGGTGCTCTTCCCCTTTAATTGTAGTCGCTGTTTCATCCCATAACTTTGCGCTGGGGGTGTCGAAGGGGGGTGCATTCTCCTGCTGGATTGCGATCGAGTTGTCATGCTGTGTCTGGTAGCCTCCTCATGGGGGGGTTCATCGTCGTTCTCCTCATCTCTACCGGACCTGGTTGTATTCCGTTTTTCTTCCAGTTTCTCGAATCCCCATCCATTTCCATTCCATCTCCATGCTGTTCCGTTCTCTACGGATCGTGGCGAATCCGTCCGCAGTTGTCTGCCAGGACTGGTCTGTAGTTGTTCCAAGAAGGGGGGGCCATCAGTGGGGGCTGCATTAATGTGATTATATGAGGAGGGGGGTCGAGCGATGTCTTCTGGATAGTAAGTCTTTGAATTAAGTCCCCTCTCCCGGTTAATGCGGCTACCAGCATTCCATATTTTCAGAGCCTGGTGTGCTGCACACAAATCCACACGCCTATTGATGGATTCAGTTTCTGAGAACCATGCCTCTTTTAATAAGCGGCCTCTTTTTGTGATATCATTAGCCAAGATTTGGGCATTCTCAAAATCAAAACGATGGCCGTATTCTACTGCATGAGCCCAAATCTGGGAGTGTTGTTCACCCCGTCTAATGGCTAGCCTATGCTCATGTAGGCGGGTCTTAAGTCTTTTCGAGGTCTCGCCTATGTAATTACTCTGGCAATCCGCACAGTTGATTTTATAAACTATGGCTGATCTCTCGGCGGTGGGGAGCTGATCTTTGGGGCGCATCACCTTAGCTCGTATGGTTTGGGTGGGTTTGTGGGCTACCTGTATGTTGTGGGGTGCCAGAAGCCTGGCTGTAGCCTCTGACACGTTTCTGATGTACGGTAGTGACACGCGTGTGACCCGTGTCTGGAGGTCCTCTCTTGATTGTCCATTATGTAGTCCGGGTGCCATACTGTGTCGCTTAATAAACCTCGGGGGATACCCATTCATTCGGCATATGCGGAATAGATGTTTTCTTTCTTCTGCCTTAGCTTCCATGGTGCTGCAGTGCGACTGTACCCGTTTGAACAAGGTCTTAATACAGCTGGCTTTATGGGAGGCCGGATGATTACTATGGAAATGGAGGATGCGGTCCGTATGAGTGGGCTTCCGATAGACCTTGGTGTTTAGAGTTCCATCTGGGGAACGTTGGACCAGTACGTCCAAGAAGGCTATCGAGCCCCGGACCTCCTCCTCCAACGTAAACTTAATGTCCGGATATATTGAATTTAATACTCCCATAAAGCCGGCTAAATGGTCTCGTTTGACGACCGCAAAAGTGTCGTCAACGTACCATGCCCAAAACTTGGGCTGTTGACGGGTCATAGCCTCGTGTTCTAATTGTTGTAGAACCGCTTCTGCCACCACGTTGGATATTGGGGAGCCCATCGGTGTACCTTTGACCTGTTCATATACATTCCCTTGAAAGGAGAAGTAGGTTGTAAGACATAGCTCAATGAGTTGCGTTAGGTCCCCCGGTTGCAGGGAATCCCGGTGTCCGGTTTTTCCTAGTTTTTCTAATCTATCCCTTAGGACTCTCAGGGCCAGTTCTTGGGGGATGGAGGTGAAGAGTGAGGTGACGTCGAAAGAGACCATCACCTCATCCTCCTCCACCCTAAGGGTCCTGATCCTCCCCAGGAATTCCTCTGCGGATCTGACTGTAGTGGGGCTGCCATCGACCAGGTAGGATATACGGTCACTAAGCCACTTCGCCAACCCTGAGATGGGAGTGCCTCTAAACGACACGATAGGGCGAAGTGGAATATCCTGCTTATGGATTTTTGGCAGTCCATAAAACCTCGGGAGCGCAGAATCATTGGGTTGTATTCTCCTTAAGGTATCTTCATCAAGTTTCTTTGATCGTTTAAAACTATCAAGTAACTTGTTGATTTTATTTTTCAGGGCCACCATGGGGTCTTTCTTAATAATTCTGTAAGCAGTCTTGTCATTTAGTAACTGCAGCGCTTTGGCCACATAGAGTGCCCTGTCCATCACCACTGTGGCCCTCCCCTTATCAGAGGGGAGTATCACAATGGTGGCGTCCCTCTTAAGATGTTCCAGGGCCTCCGTTTCATCCCTAGGTAACACTTGGTGGTGCCTATGACGCATAAGCAACCCCGTGACCTGCTGCCTGATTAAATTCGCCAAATTTTCTCCCAAATCCTCGTGGTGCATAGCCGGTTCCAACGCGGCAACGAAGTCTAACAGATTCGCATCCATCAGGTTATATCCTGCTTAGTGACCGTATATCCTACCTGGTCGATGGCAGCCCCACTACAGTCAGATCCGCAGAGGAATTCCTGGGGAGGATCAGGACCCTTAGGGTGGAGGAGGATGAGGTGATGGTCTCTTTCGACGTCACCTCACTCTTCACCTCCATCCCCCAAGAACTGGCCCTGAGAGTCCTAAGGGATAGATTAGAAAAACTAGGAAAAACCGGACACCGGGATTCCCTGCAACCGGGGGACCTAACGCAACTCATTGAGCTATGTCTTACAACCTACTTCTCCTTTCAAGGGAATATATATGAACAGGTCAAAGGTACACCGATGGGCTCCCCAATATCCAGCGTGGTGGCAGAAGCGGTTCTACAACAATTAGAACACGAGGCTATGACCCGTCAACAGCCCAAGTTTTGGGCACGGTACGTTGACGACACTTTTGCGGTCGTCAAACGAGACCATTTAGCCGGCTTTATGGGAGTATTAAATTCAATATATCCGGACATTAAGTTTACGTTGGAGGAGGAGGTCCGGGGCTCGATAGCCTTCTTGGACGTACTGGTCCAACGTTCCCCAGATGGAACTCTAAACACCAAGGTCTATCGGAAGCCCACTCATACGGACCGCATCCTCCATTTCCATAGTAATCATCCGGCCTCCCATAAAGCCAGCTGTATTAAGACCTTGTTCAAACGGGTACAGTCGCACTGCAGCACCATGGAAGCTAAGGCAGAAGAAAGAAAACATCTATTCCGCATATGCCGAATGAATGGGTATCCCCCGAGGTTTATT